GTTTTAAATGTTTTGAAAACTCACAGTATCAACTTTGCTGTAGCTTTCTTTTATGCCTGCTACGTTACTGCAGACACAGACATCTGAGCCATCTGATTGGCCAGCGGTAGGCCTATGGTGCACTTGATTTGCTCTCTGGGCCCGCCGGGAAAGCAGAGTTTGTACCTTCAGACACATGAAATGGTTAAAAATGGCAACAGTTCGCCTACCCGGCACGCTGGGCACCTGAATCGGGTGCACCTACTGCCAACAGCCAGAGACAAATACCATTTTTTGGGAACACAAGGCTTTATCGTTGGTCTTTTACAGAAATGTTTGGCGATCGATTAGGAATGCCTTGGAGATCGACCATTCCTTCGCGATCGACCGGTTGGTGACCACTGCTCTAGAAAGTTCAAACTCGTGTTTCTCTCTGTGGGCTGATATTTCTGCGTGGCAGTCCTGGGGAGCTGCGTGGCATTCTCGGGCTACTGCCCATGCGCGCAATCTAGATGGAACATTGGTGATGAGGCATATATCTGGGGAAGGGTATAAAACAATTTCTAGAGTGTTGAACGTTTCCAAGAGCACAGTGGTCTCGATCATTGGGAAATGGGAAAAATATGGAACTACCCAGAGTGCCTAGAGCTGGCCGTCCGACCAAACTGAGCAATCGGGCAAGAAGGACCTTGGTCAGGGAGGTGACCAAGAACCCAATGACCACTTTGACAGAACTACAGAGTTCCTTGGCTGAGATGGGAGAACCTGTCAGAAGGACAACAGTCTCTACAGCACTTCACCAATCTGGGCTTTATGGGAGAGTGACCAGACTAAAGCTACGCCTGAGAAAAAGGCACATGACAGCAAGCCTGGAGTTTGCAAAAAGGTAAGTGAAAGACTGCGATCATAAGGCAAAAGATTCTGTGGTCTGATGAGACATTTTTATTATTTGGCCTGAATGCAAAGTACTATGTCTGTAGAAAATCAGGCACAGCTCATCACCCATCTAACATCATCCCTACCTTGAAGCATGGTGGTGGCAGCATCATGCTATGGGGATGCTTTTCAGCGGCAGGGACTGGTAAGGATAGAGGGAACAATGAATGGAGCCAAATACAGGCAAATCCTAGATGAGAACCTGCTTCAGAGTGCAAACAACCTTAAACTGGGGTAAAGATTTACGTCCCAAAAGGACAATGACCCCAAGCATACAGCCAAAGCAACGCTGGAATGGCTTCAGAACAAGAATGTGAAAGTCCTTGAGTGGCCAAAGCCCAGACTTGAATCCCATTGAAAATCTGTGGAAAGACTTGAAGATAGATGGGGACCGGTGGTGAACAGCAAAATTAACAGAGCTTGAGAAAATCTGCAAGGAAGAATGGGAGAAAATATCACCAATTCAAGATGTGCACAGCTGATAGACATACCCAAGACGACTCAAAGCTGCAATCGCTTCCAAATGAGCTTTTACAAAGTATTGACCCCAGGGGTGTGAATACTTTGTAAATGAGTGAGAGAACTGCATTTCATTTTCAATACATTTGCAAAAATGTCTAAAAATATGTTTTCACTTTGTCATTATGGGGTATTGTGTGTAGATGGGTGAGAAGAAAATACATGTAATCCAAGTTGAATTCAGGCTGTAACAACAAAATGTGGAATAAGTCAAGGGGTATGAATTCTTTCTGAAGGCACTGTATAAATGAATGATACGTACCCATTGATTCTTGAAGAATATAACGTGTAAATGCCTCATGAGCTTAGTTTAACTGTTAAACCCCATTAGAACCCAAAATAAGCTTGTTTTACTCCAATGTTTTTAAACAAAGTAAATGTAAACAAACACCATAAAGCTTCAAAACATGGTTAAATCTATAATGTTGATATCATGGATGGTTAGTCCTTGCATCCATAGATCTTTGAATAGCTTTTCCACAAAAATGATACAATGACAAAAGGAGGCCATTTTCAGTAGTGAAGCAACAATAGTGTCTTGCTGTCTTTATTTTGAAAGTACATTACTGTAAACATCGCTGTGAAGATAATACAGCTCCCTGGTTAACGGAGGCAACCCACTGACGTGTTAAATGGGGAGTGAGATGAGTGTATGCGTTTTACAGAAAGGAAAAACAAGTACTGCAGTGGAAGGTGACCGTTCAGGTGCACTAAGTGGGTTTCATACATAACTACTAATAGAACTAAATGGGAAACTATTGGATTTCAGGAAGGAAAATCTGTCCCAAACATATTTTGAAGCGATCCGTTTTGTCATGGTGACAACAAAAATCTATAATAGGAGACAACAAATGTAGAAAACACAAAAATACACTCTGGGTTGGACAGATTATGAAAAAGCCCATCCTAGCATTCTACAGCATTCGGGATCTGCTAAATTAAGTTATGTCAATCACAGGGGAGTCGTGAGCAAGGCCTACGCCCATGTAATCTTACAACATAAAGTGCTGGGAGCCGGAGGTCTGAAAGCTGCCCCTTTGGCTCCAATCCAGGTGAGCCTCAGATGACATCAAACCACTTCCTTCTCTGTGAGAGGCATAATAAGCTGCACCACCGATGCCAATAACAGTAATGGAATACCTTGAAGTCGCCAACTGTGCTCCATTATTCTGAACAAATGTCTGGGGTATCTCTGGAGGTAGTGAGTGGGATAAATGCACTACTGATACAGTGGACAGCTGAGATCAAAGTGTACAAGCGGAGGTATACTATGATGACATGTCACACAGAAGTTGAATTGTGTGAGGTCCCACAATTTCCATTGGGTTTTGTCATAAAGTAGGATAACAAAATTCCAGTAACTTTCCAAAAATCCCGGTTAGAATATTCCTGTAATCAGGAATAAGAAAAAAAATCAGGGACTCCTTCATCCAGGATTTCTGGAAAACCTGAGAATTTTACCATAAAGGGACTTTTGCAACCCTAGTCATACCTACACTACATGACCAAAAGTATGTGGACACCTGCTCGTCGAACATCTCATTCTAAAATCATGGCCATTAGTATAGAGTTGGTCCCCCCTTTGCTGCTATAACAACCTCCACTCTTCTGGGAAGGCTTTCCACTAGATGTTGGAACATTGCTGCGTGGACTTGCTTCCATTCAGCCACAAGAGCATTAGTGAGGTCGGGCACTGATGTTGGGGGATTAGGCTTGGCTCGCAGTCTGCGTTCCAATTCATCTCAAAGGTGTTTGATGGGGTTTAGGTCAGGCCTCTGCGCAGGCCAGTCAAGTTCTTCCACACCGATCTCGACAAACCATTTCTGTATGGACCTCGCTTTGTGCACAGGAAACGGCCTTCCCCAAACAGTTGCCACAAATTTGGAAGCACAGTATAATCTAGATTGTCATTGTATGCTGTAGCGTTATGATTTCCCCTTCATTGGAACTAAGGGGCCTAGATCGAACCATGAAAAACAGCCCCAGACCATTATTCCTCCACCAAACTTTACAGTTGTCACTATGCATTGGGGCAGGTGGTGTTCTCCTGGCATCCGCCAAACCCAGATTCGTCCGTTGGACTGCCAGATGGTGAAGCATGATTCATCACTCCAGAGAACTCGTATCCACTGCTCCAGAGTCCAATGGCGGTGAGCTTTACACCACTCCAGCCGACACTTGGCATTGTGCATGTTGATCTTAGACTTGTGCGCGGTAGCTCGGCCATGGAAACCCATTACATGAAGCTCCCGACGAACAGTTGTTGTGCTGACGTTGCTTCCAGAGGCAGTTTGGAACTCTGTGACTGAAAGTTGCAACCGAGGACAGACGATGTCTACGAGCTATGCGCTTCAGCACTCGCCAGTTCCGTTCTGTGAGCTTGTGTGGCCTACCACTTTGTGGCTGACCCATTGTTGCTCCTAGATGTTTCCACTTCACAATAACAGCACTTACAGTTGACCAGGGCAGCTCTAGCAGGCCCGAAATGTGACGAACTGACTTGTTGGAAAGGTGGCATCCTATGACGGTGCCACTTTGAAAGTCACTGAGCTCTTCAGTAAGGCCATTATACTGCCAATGTTTGTCTATGGAAATTGCATGGCTGTGTGCTCGATTTTATACACCTGTCAGCAACGGGTGTGGCTGAAATAGCCGAATCCACTAAATTTGAAGGGGTGTCCACATACTTCTGTATATATACTGTATTTTAATATTACAGTCAATGACATGGATCTTTCCTTTCTATCAAGTCAAGTAGCGCTATAGCTCAGCATCAAAATCACAAAGAAAATAATAAGTCCAAAAATGGTGGGAAAAAGCAATAACAGGTGATAGGACACAGATGGCGAGAGATGGAGAGAACAAAAGAGAGTGAGATGTAATGGGGGAAAATGTGTGATGGAGAGCAACAAGAGTGAAAAAGTACCATCGGGACAGCAAAAGAGGGAATTTAAGACAATAAGTAAAAAGGACAGAAAACAGAGAGGAGAGGTTTTGGGAGCTGGGAAAAGCATGTCTGCATAATGTACATCTGTCAGCCTGCCAGTCCCCCCTTGTAGTGTGTGGTTCAGATCTCCTCTGGTGAGATCACAGGGGGTTGAAGGTATTATACATTCATTTCCTTCTAGATTGTGCCAAAGTAATTTACATCTGTGAAATGAAAAACCTGAAAGTGGGCTTCAGGCTTTAACCAAGTGAGTGAATGGTGGTCGTGTTGCACCTGCATCATCAAATCATATTACAATAGACATCACTTGGAACGAGATGCAGAGAAACACAAATGCCAAGGAAATGGCTGTGTGATTACTTTGTCATAAAATAGATGGGTACTTGAATGAGAAAAAAAAAACATAAGGTAGAGCAAATTACTGTATTTCAAATACCAAACAAGCACACGGAATCACAGTAAAACAATCAGAAGTCACTTGTAACTAACATTTGCTTTATTTGACATTTTTGAAAATCTCTACACTGTTCCCAAAATAGTGGGGAACATCCCCAAATAATGACAAGACAAGACATTGGAGAGGATCCGCCATAAGACAGTGTTGTGTCATTTGTAAGCCCTAGCTCCGGTTCCCCAGCAGATGCAGGACCAGCTCTTCGTCCTCGGCCAGAGAGAGGCCAGTGTCGAGCGGCTTGGCAGTTGCTTGTTGCCTGTGTCTCTTCCTGCTCCCCGCTGCCTCTTCTTCTTCTTCACCCGAGTGATCGATGCTGTCACTACGGCTGCGCTTCCTCGTCCCTGCAGCAGGGCTTTAAACAGATAGAAGAAAGGGTTCAACAATCAGTTCAGCTCATATCAATGGGAGTTCGGTTTTTATTGAGGGCCGATCTATGGAGATGGGTTTGAAAGGGGTTATGAGTAGGGTCCTGTGTTTTGGGCTATAATGTCACATTACCTTGTTTTGAACCTTTATTTTAAGCCTTTTCCAGAAATGAGAATTACACCAAAAATGTAAGCAATTGTCTGAGGATAGTGCTGGACCATCTGACATAAAAAGAAAATGGGACAGTTTGATGAAAAAGCTTTTATCAAAAGGTTAAAATCCAGGTCATGTGACATGATTGTCCAAAACACAGGGCCCTAGTTGAGACACCGTGGATCATGGGAATCTGTGTAAGAAATGTAGAGGAATGCATCACAGAGAGGCAACTTGGTTAAAAGTCTTCAAATGTTGCTAGCTGTTTGATTGCTTGCAGTTGATCACTGTTGGTTTTCTTTGTTATTGAGTGGGATGGAAAGAGGCATCCATCACATCTATCTGATAGGGGAGATAGCAGGCTCTGTTTATTCAAAAGTTGTGAGATGGTGTGGAAATAAACAGTTCTATAGAGATCTCCATGACTCTTTCAGTGTCGAGATCATCAGACACCCAGTAATGGCATAATGGAATTAATCGAACAAATGAGCTAAACAAAACAATTCTAAGTCTTTGATGAAGTCAAATGGTGTGGATAAAGGGAGATGGGAATGCTTTATGTGAACAGGTAGCAGAATGAAACGATGAGTCATTGCTGATAGAGCCATCTCTCCTATTATCCATGTCTCAGATTTTTGACACGCCACAGCTCTGGGGCTGGGTGGTGAGCACTAGGTAAAACAAAATGTCTGCCATGCATGCAGAACCCCATCGGGTCATATTCATTAGGGCACACCATAGAGCTGTGCGATATGGCCAAAAATCCATATCACAATAAAATGACTGAATTAATACAATTTACCCTTTAAACTACTACTACTAGTTTGATCAATTGTCCCATTAACAATAACCCATAACTATTTAATTTCAAATGATAAGTAGTATAGGCTACTTATCAGTATGTGGTAGCTGGTAGCTCAGCTGGTAGAGCACGGCGCTTGTAACGCCAAGGTAGTGGGTTCGTTCCCCGGGACCACCCATACACAGAAATGTATGCACGCATGACTGTAAGTCGCTTTGGATAAAAGCGTCTGCTAAATGGCATATTATTTATTATTATTATTTATTTATATAATGAACGATATCAGCAAAATGCCCACCATAAGTGGGCGGTATGGTCTGTGTCGATAATTTTTGGTTTCTCGTCCCAGCTCTAGCACACCGTAACAAAACGATTTGCAATGGAAAACTAAAAACAAGCGTTTCTATGAATATGTTCAGATGGTACCTTCTCGTTTCGGCCCATTTTTCTTCCATTTCATGTCTAATGAATCAGTTGAATCAGGACCCAGCTGTGTACATTAGTAAGGTTACTTTTTCTTTAACCTTGCCAACCACAAACATGTAGGCAAGCGCATTTTCTTGACAGTCTTTCCACAAGCCATAAGGAGGAGTGATTTCAACCAAAGTCAAAAGGAAAGGGAAAAGCAGTGGTACATTTGTCTTGCTTTGCTGTTTTGTTAGTGCTGACAGGGTGCTTTTCTCTAACCTTAGCCCATGGTGAAGACAACCTGAGCCCAAATGAAGAACTTAGTTTGTAGAACATCTGTTTGGTACAGATAGTGAGACATGAGAAGTTGGGGAATGGTCCAACCTGATCAGAATAAGTTATGTTTGCAATTATAATCTATAATAGCCAAAAGAGCAGCAACAATAGATTTAAAAGAACAGAAATGGGACTCATTATTCTGACAAGTTCCTAATTTACCCCTTAACTGACCCCTTTGTCGGATTTCTGTGCCTCTATCATTCTTCTTATAGTTTTTGCTGTAGACTCAATTTAATTCCAAAGGCCAGCAGGTCTCATATAGTATTGTGTTTAATACTTTCCTGGGCACCATCACACACCAGCCAAGCTGTATCTTGCACTTGGCTGAGAACAAGAACCTGACCAGAACCTGACCAGGGGAAAATAGACAACTGAGTGGCAATTACATACCCTATATAGTGACATGTCTATGATGGAATAATTAGAACTGTATCTTAAATAAATAAATAAATACATCTTTACAGAAGTTCCGAAGATAAGGAAAGCTCAGAATTTACTGTGTATTGTTGAGGATGATTTAACCAAACAATTTCTGCCTGAATTGTTTGGTTAAATCACCCTCAACACTAAGTCTCTGTTGAATCATTTAAGGCTTTTCTCCAGCGGATCGACACAGAACTGTATGTGCTGGTATAAAAAGTATAGACTGGAATGGGGTCAACAACTGATTCGAGGGAATGTTTCATATGTTATGGCCCTCATGTCAATCATGGCTTAAGTGGACATCATGAAAATGATCGGAGAGGTTGAGAGTAGAAGAAGTTCAGGAGCAAAAAAAAAATTATATATATATATATATATATATATAGAATTATTGTAAAATTAACTCTGTCCATAAGGTGTAGATAGTAAGTATAGACCGGAAGTAGAGGCCTGGGCGTTGTTGTTCACTAATTTACTCCAAGTAGGGAAAGGATGGTGGGGTTGAAAAGTAATAAAGGGGAATATATATATAAAAAATTAAATAAAACATGGGGGATTGGAAGTGATGCAGACAATTACATTGATAGAAGATACAATCTATCTGCAATATTAAGCTGATCCATTCCCCCCGAGAGAAAAAAAAAAAAAAAAAAAAAAAAAATCATGGCTTAAGTTGTCGCCATCCCCCTGGTGGTGGTTATACATAATTAACATAGTGCTAGATACAATAGAAATATGGGCTGCTCAAGGCTGTGCATCGATCAATAGCTCCCTTATGGTTAGCAAGTAGCATGCTTATGATTGTCTATATCCAGGTACAGCCAATTGGCCTTAGAGTTGTCCTGGGGACATCCATCCATCCGCTACTCCATAATCATAATGCATCATACCACCGGCTGTTGCCCTAGAGATCATGGTCAACCGGCTCAGCGATGACGTCAGCCAGGGAGACTCAATTACACTGTCATTCATCATCACCACAGGATGTGAGCAATGGAGTCAGTCAGACAGAGGAATTGGCCAGTACAGGCATGGATGGACTCAGTAGGGATAAACCCAGAGTGAATGGATGGACAGTACAGTATATTCTTGGTGCGCTTTAACAATGGCCAGGCCATATACAAGCAGCATAGGGAGGTTTCTCTTACAGATAGTGGTGTGTGGAAATCTGCCAGAAGAAGACACTAGGAGGTGGTATTAATATACACTGGAGGAAAGCGAGAAAGGGATAGAGGGAAAGAGAGAGGAGGGGGTGCAGTAGAAGATGTCAAGGAGAGGGTGATATATAAGTGGTGGTGTTCTGAGAAACCCCTCCCTAGCATAAACCAGCATCCCAAGGAGAGAGGCAGGCAGGCAGGCGGTAGATCTGCGTGGTAAAGGGCCATTGTAGTCATGCAGTGAAAGCGGGGAAGTGGAGCGGACTGTAAATCTGCTCTCGCCCGCAGCCCTCTGGGCTAACGGAGGAGGAGGAGAGGGAAGGAACATCTGCTGATCCTCCACACACGGGGAGAGGAAGGGAGAGATAAATGCAGGCGAAGGGAGTGAAAGAGAGGCAGAGAGAGAGAAAGAAGTATGAGGAATCGAAAGGGACAGAGAGAGAAGTAGAAACAAGTCAGAGAGAGAGCACAAAGACAATACTCCGTAGTACAGCGGTTGCCAACCTTTTCCAGTTACTGTACCACCGACTGAATTTTGCTCTGCACGGAGTACCCCTTAAGTACCCCCTCATGTGCATTTGACCAGTAAGACTATGGTCTCATGAGTCTTCTCAAGTACCCCCTGTGGATAGGCCAAGTACCCCTGGTTGGGAACCACTGCCGTAGTAGACAAGACATCAAGAAAAGAGAGGAAGATGTGGAGCAGAAAACCAGAAGCCTCGTCCTGCCTGCCTCTCTGTCTTTAAATTCTTGGTGCATTGCCCTGTAGCGAGAGGTCGCGTTGCCCTTCACCCTCGGCTGCCACTTTAAATCTGCCTCTAATTACACACTTTATAGCCTATTGCCGTCCGCCCGCGATCAATGCCTCTGCCACGGCAGGCTACAGAGGGAGTCCTCCCTCCTGGAAAGGGTATAATTCTGCTCCGGAGACAATTACACCACGAATCCCAATAATCCCAGGCAGCCGAGCAGTGATACAACATTGCAAATCTAATGAATCTATGAATGCTCAATAAAAACAACCCCACTACGACCGAGCGCCAGGCCTAAAATGCTGAGCAGCTCATTGTTTTCCAATATGGATTCCTTGAGAAACGTCAAACCATGGCTTCTGTCTGGTAATTTTGAAAGGATTGGAATGCATCAGTGATATCCAGACATCTAATCTATGCTTGGTCGAATTGATGCCTGTTCTTTCAGATTTACTCATCACAAAATCCTTATGGGTAAGGGCTGCGCATTGTCAAGGGATTTTAAAAGCTCTGTATGGAGCCTTTAGTCTATCATGCATCCAGTTTCAGCCTAAAGACTAGATGGTACAGTAGCCTATAATTTTTACCTGCTCTGGTGATCTTCTTCCTCTGAGTCGTAGCGTAGTTTGTCCGGGTCGGGCAGCGTGCTGGGGTCAAACTCCTCTCCATCAGAACCATCCAGGTACGCTACCACCTCCTCTTCATCTTCCTCACCTGACTTCTGCTCCTGGGACAAAATACACCATTACTACAAATACCCTGTGTTGGATACAATAAGCAAATCAACCAATTGTGTGAAGACTATGCAATCAATGAATGAATAGATTAATTAACATGGTGAGAGGGAGAAAAGTTCCCCATACACAGTAATGTATTTGTACTGATGTTTGTGTGCCCAATTACTGGATGTTATCGTTCATGAAGAAAAAGCTTGCCAAGCCACACTAAATCCCACCCCTATATGAACTCAGCGATAATACTGCAAGTCTGAAGCTGGCAAGTAGAAATACTGCAGGACGGACCAAAATAATAGTATGAAAATGTATTCACAGTGAAAGCCTGACGGATACAAATATCTAGAAGGTTAAAGCAGTATAAGATTAGTCAAACTCCGCCTGATGCAAGAGTAGGTTAAAAGTAGAGGGGGCAAGATAAATACAGCTCGATAGAGATTTACAGAGACAGGCAGAGGTAAGCCTCATGTGAGCAATGTAAACACAGAATCAGGGGTACCAAACCACTCTGCTTCTGTGTGTTTCACTAATAACCTGTGGATCTCCCTCACACAATGTAACCTATATATTCGGAGGCCAATAAAAACTACAAATAAAACAAGTGGAAGTTCTAAGGAGTTTCACTGTGTGCTCTTTAATCCAAGCAGGAAATGAGAGGAGGTACTGAGAGAGGGAGAGGGAAAAGAGGGAAATAATTGATCTACTTAAAATGGATGAAACTGCCCAGTGGAACACACTTGTTAATGAGCTTGGGTTCTCAGACCCACAGGGCCGCAATCTTATGAAAGAATTTGGGACAAACGCATCTGTGGTAGATTTCTCTATGGACAGCTATAATGAGAGGGCCCTGTTTGTTCCACATATCTGAATCAGTTTCTCTAACCTCAGTGTTCAACAAGCCTTATTCACCCCACCCAGACAATTAATGGTTTCCAGAAAGTTTTGAAGAAAGAGAGAAGAATATTGCTGTTTTTAGCAACTCAATGGAACGTTAAGACCTAAGTTGAATTTCATGACTAGAAGGTGGGCTGCTCAATTTCAACTGGCATTGAAACTAGTCTTCAATGCTCTGCTTTGCAAACCAACAGCTCTATCCAGACAAAACTATTTATCAGGCCATCTGATGTGCGAGAAAGACCTCCCCCACTGATTGTTTGAAAATCAAAAAAGTAAAAACGTACGTATCATGACCCGGACTATTACCTCAATCAGGTAAACGGCGTCACTCCAAAGGCTCCCGTGGAAAACAAAGGGTCCTGAGCATGACATGTTGTGGGTGACCGAGTTAGCTACAGCAATACACTCTACCTCTTTCAGAACTTTCCAAACATAACCTGCAGTATGGATTTTCCTACGTTCTTGTGGTTATAGACTAAAGCACTGGTAAGTAAATAGTTCAATGCACTTTGCTGATTTAATGAAGAGATATCCACATGAAATGGAATAAAAGGCTTATATACTCTAAGCTTAGTGTATGACATTGAAGCAATAGCTTATGTAGGCCTAATATGCATACAATAATAATACATTTTATTTTAAGCGCTTTTCAAGACACCCAAAGTCACATTACATACACATGATAAGCAGCAGGATAAAAAGCAATAGAATCCCATAGAAATAAGTATATAAAAGTACACCATACATAAAGGACAGACAAACCAGGGAGAAAACTAAACATGATGACTGACTAACCAGGGAAGTGAACTAGACAGGGGATAAAAGCTAAGACAAGAGAATCTGGGTAAGCCTGTGTGAAAAGGTTTCTTTAGTGTGAACTTGAAAATGTGTATAGATTATGAGGTTCTGACATGGAGAGGGAGTTCCAGAGTTGGGGGGCTACACTGCTAAAAGCACGGTCTCCCATGGAGCGGAGACTGGTGCGAAGGATGGTGAGAGGAGGCATAGTGTCAGAGTGCAGTGAACAGGTCAGAGTGTAGGGGTGCAGGAGGTCAGTAAGGTACAATATGTGTCTGCCAATCCATCGAGTGCTTTGTAGGTGAACATGAGCAATTCGAAGATGATCCTGCATTGAACTGGGAACCAGTGGAGTTTGATCAGGGTGGGGGTGACGTGGTCCCCAGGTCTGGTGTGTGTGAGGACTCGAGCAGCAGTTTTTAATGTGTTGAAGTCTGTCCAGTGTTTTGGCGTGGAGGCCGTAGAGAATGGGGTTTCAGTACTCCAGGCATGATAAAATACTGGCGTGAATTAGTGTTTCAGCAGTAGGGTCAGTGAGAGAGGGTCTGAGTCGTGAGATGTTTTTGAGATGGAAGGCGGCTGACTTGATGATGTTCTGGATATGGGGTTTAACCTCTTAAGGATCTGACCCTTTTTTTCAATTTTCGCCTAAAATGCCATACCCAAATCTAACTGCCTGTAGCTCAGGACCTGAAGCAAGGATATGCATATTCTTGATACCATTTGAAAGGAAACACTTTGAAGTTTGTGGAAATGTGTAATAAATGTAGGAGAATATAACACATATCTGGTAAAAGATAATACAAACCCCAAAACATTTTTATTTTATTTTTTTTGTTCCATCATCTTTGAAATGCAAGAGAAAGGCCACAATTTAATATTGCAGTTTAGGTGCAATTTAGATTTGGCCACTAGATGGCAGCAGTGTGTGTGCAAAGTTTCAGATTGATCCAGCGAAGCATTGCAATACTGGACTATTTTGTATCAAGTCTGCCCAAATGTGCCGAATTGGTCAATTGATACATTTTCAAGTACATAACCATAGAGAACATACATTTTGTATTACCATATCATTTTTGTAAGTTTCCACACGCCCAGGAATGTCATACATGATGGATCATTAGCTTATACACTAACTTTCACACATCTAGATGGCCGGGCGGGTGGGTGTGGAGCCAGAGACAGCAGGGGTTCAAACTGTAGAACCCAGTTCCTAAATTTGAATATAAAAATGGATTTTATCAAACAAAACTATGCTACATTTTATCTCTGGGACCCTTAGGATGACAAATCAGAGCAAGATTACTGAATGTAAGTACATTATATTCCTTCAGAGGTGAATGTATCAAACCAGTTGCCCTGATAAGTTTTTTGTTGTTGTGCACTCTCCTCAAACAATAGCATTTGTTCACTGTAATAGCTACTGCAAATTGGACAGTGCAGTTAGATTAACAAGAATTTAAGCTTTCTGCCCATATAAGACATGTCTATGTCCTGGAAAGTTTGCTGTTACTTACAACAGTCACGCTAATCACATTAGTGCACGTTAGCTCAACCGTCCCGTATACGGGACACCGATCCCGTAGAGGTTAAATGACAGAGTGGGGTCAAATTTAACCCCAAGGTTCCTGACTGTGGAGTTGGTGGATGGTGCAGCCTTGGATTGTCATGTTGAGTTGACCCAGTTTCTTGATGAGGGTCATGGGGCCCATGAGCTGACCTCTGTTTCCTCATCATTAAGTGTTAAAAAGGTATTGCTCATCCAAGTTCACTTCATGGAGAACATCAACAACAGAGGGAGGTGGCAGGGTGGAGTTGGGTTTTGTGTGGATCTAGATGTGCATATGCGTCTGCATAATAGTGAAATCTGAGTCCAAAGTGATGGAGGAGTGACCAAGGAGTAGCATGTAAATCATAAACAGTAACGGCCCTAACACTGAGCCTTGTGGGACACCTGGTGATACATGGGCTGGGGCAGACCTGCAGTTGCTAAGGGGACAAACTGTTGTCTATCAGATAGGTAGAAGTGGAACCAGGCTAGGGGTGTTCTGGAGATTCCAAGAAGCCTCTAGATGCGGTCAGTTAAAATCTGATGACAGACAGTGTCAAATGCTACAGACGACAGGTCCAGGAGGATGAGGATGGAGATGTTCCCAGCTTTAGCAGCACAGAGATCGTCGTTCACTACCTTTACCAAGGAAGTTTCAGTGCTATGCATAGCCCGTAAGCCTGACTGGAGCGGTTCAAAAAGTTAATGAGATGCCATGTGTTGTTGGATTAGTGATGCTACCAACCGCTCAAGCACTTTAGCGAGGAAGGGGAGTACACAGTATCCCAAAGTATTTCACTCTTCCTATGTTAGAAATCTTATCTCAACTACTATACCCATTTACAACAAAGAGGCAACAAAAAATGGGAATGGGGGACTTGTAGCGATTCTAGTATCTAGGAAGGAAATCTAATCTTTGCTTTATCTAATATTAGAACACTAAGTAGGAGTATCAGCTGCTGTTTCCCAACGCTAGTCTTGCTGTGCAGGGAGAGAGATTCAGTGTCTGTGTGCGCTGCAAACCAATCCTGTATGGAGACCTGGCTTTTGCACAATTAATTTGTCAGCATTTTCATCATTTTTGTTATCATTACAACACTGTGCCCCACAGAGCTGCATAATATGGGGAAAAACTGACTCGTTAATTGGTGAACTGTTGGGATCATGGAAATAGAATGATTAATCTAATTCTATAGTTGGAATATAGTGGGCAGCACCTTGAATACATTGTTTGACATGACAATGAATGAATAAGCCAAGGAGGAATTATTGACAGGGTATGAACCAAAGTGTTGGTCAGTGTTTCCAGCAGACTTTAATTAGATGTTACATTACATTTTCTTACCTCATGTAGCTAGCTAGCTAACGTTCATGATTCGCCTATTCCTGTCTGATTTGGAAGATACCGTTGCACAAACATGCTTATCTAGGCCTACATCACTGGTACCTGGCTGTATTAGCTAGCTAAGTTTGCTCTGACTTAGTACATTTAGCAAGCTAGCTAGCCAGCTAATTAGCGAACTAACTAGCAATTAGCATTAGCAGTTAACGATTTATTTTAGCTAGAACTTGCTAAGACAAACTAGCAGACAGCAACTATGTAATTATAGAATGCTTGTAGAAAAGCAGCATCATTGTCACCAACATCTTTCTGCATGACCATGCAGACTGCAGAATGAACGGCAAGAAAGTGCTCGTGACTCCGTGGTCGAGCAACTGCTCTCTCCTTGAGTAACGGGGGGCAGGGCT